TTCTATTTAGTGGATGCATCTTAAATTTAATCAAAAAGATTTAATAAGTAATATTCCGCAATTAATTATTATTTGCAGTCCATCGCTCACATGGCGAGACATACAGCATTTGACAGTGTTGACTTCCAAGCGTAATTCACTATTCGACGCTAAGAATCGCTTCCACTGGACTATGAATGGTGTGGGTCTGGAATTCAATCACCTCTTCGGCTTTGGTGTTCTAGACGCTGGCGCTATGGTGACCCTGTCCAAGCAATGGCGCTCAGTGCCGGCGCGGTATCACTGCGAAGCTGGGGAAATTGTGGAACCAAAGTGAGTAGAAACGGAGTTAAATTGGATTCATATTATATTTACTGTTATTTAATATATATTTCTATTTTAGTCCAATTTATACCGGTCGCTCAATGTTTCTGGAAATAAAAACGGATTCTTGCAAAGGTACTGACACCGAAGTGAATTATCTGGAGCATGTGCAGGCGGTGATCTCCGCCAATGCCACGAGACGAGGAGATTTGGAGCTATTCCTCACTTCGCCGATGGGTACTAGGTGAGTAACTAGCGATTGGCTTGMTAAAACTATAATTACTAAGTTTTCATTGTTAAATTATTTTGTTATTATTTATATACTTTCMCTGCAGATCAATGATACTGTCGCGTCGCGCCAATGACGATGATCATCGTGATGGCTTCACAAAATGGCCGTTCATGACCACACACTCATGGGGCGAGTATCCACACGGCACGTGGAAATTGGAGGTACGCAACGACGTTTTCACTTAATTTTGCTTAGCATTTGTTTAAACATTTGTATGTGTGTTTGCATGTGCAGGCACGTTTCAATTCACCGCAAGCACGCTCCGGCTGGCTCATCGAATGGTCGCTTGTGCTGCACGGCACCAAGGAGGCGCCCTATCGCACACTCTCACCTGCTTCGCCGCACTCCAAGCTGGCCATCGTCAAAAAGGCCCATGAGGACCGCAAGATGAAGTAGACAGGTCAACCACCGAAAAGCGAAAAATTCAAAAGAATTTTCTAAATCAAAAATCCATATGCTAGAGGAGAAGGAGCAGGGCCGAAATACAGCAGAGTAAACAAAATGAAAAATGTGTGGTTATAAGGAGAGCCCAAAGTTAATGCAGGTGGCAAGGCTGCAAACCAGAGTTTCAATAGAAAAGCAAATACAATTTTTCAGTTGTTAAACATATAAAAAAAAAA